CAACACAACGCTCCTTCTAATCCTTGCAAACACGCGGTGCAGCGTGCTCTGTCGTACAGCGAGCTCTGACAAACGGAAACCTGGAAATCGTGGAAATCTCAAAACGAGGCTGTACCGCTAGAAAAGTTTGGCGGTCTGGTACGGAATTGATATTATATCAATCATGTTGTGCGTTACAGAACTACACTGAATTAGCGCGAAAAACACATAACATGTGTAACCAGTGAGTCAGATGCATTGTGAATCATTTTACGATCTCATCAAACAGGGGCAGTCTGTGACGTCTCTGTTAAGGTCATGCTGCTTACACCTCGCCAAACAATATAGACAAACGATGCCATTAAAGTTTAAAATTAAAATTCATTTGTAAATACCATTTTCTTCTGAAACAAAGAATTGGAATTCAGTGTAAACATAGTTGTTTGTGGTGTCTATTTTCACATTCACACGAGAAAATTCGAATCGGCTGAAAAGTAGGTCATTGTCTGAATAGGTTAATGAGACTCATGTATCCAGGGTAAAGTGGAGGGTGATCGTAACATATACCCTGGAGATTATCGAAGATGGGTTGACACATGTCATCGGTTCCCAAATGCGCAGATTGATGATCATGCTGTTGATAGCTGGATTATCTGGTCCAGACTCGATTATTCACAGACCGCTGCCATATAGCTGGAATATTGCTGAGTGCAGCGTAAAACTAAACTCACTCACTCACATTAAGTTAACCATGATTTTACATGTTTGATCCAACACTGCCGCGTGGCTAAGACATACTGCAGTTGGTCAGGGTAGTGAGACGCTCAGTGATCTACATTTATTCACCTTCTATAGCATTAATAACACGCCTTGTCTCTCACGTTACCAATACTTTGTCCTGAGAATATAAATCACTTTTGAAAACACTAAACATATATTCAAACTTTAGTACATTAAAATTGAAAACACATAGTCTGTCTACAGTGAAGTCAAAATTGGGACTCATTTCCTTAGCACTGTCAGTGTTATGACATCCAAGCAGTACCATTTCTCTGTAATGAGTGAGAGAGTAAGTTAGTTTTACGCCGATTTTAGCAATATTCCAGCAATATCCCGGCGGCTGACGCCAGAAAGGGGCTTCACACCTATGTGGGGAATCGAACCCGGGTCTTCAGCGTCACGGGCGAACGCTTTAACCATAAGGCTTCCCCACCGCCCCTTATTTTTTTGTAACTCTGGGGCATAAATGAACTGCAAAATGATTAACAAGAAAGGTTATAATTTCAAAGTAATATTTCAAAGTGTCTACTGCATTACATTTATTACAACTGATCAGTCTTAAATATTGGTTTTAAACATACATTAATTGCAGTATGTCGTGAGTGAGTTAGCAATATTCCAGCAATATCAAGTCCCAGAGTTTGTCAGTGAAGGGACATAACTCGGCTACGCTTAGAGCAAATCCGTTGTTTAATGGCACACTTGGTCGGAATTTCCTGTTTCGAACGTTACTGTAACACACACAAACAAACAAACAATTTCACAATCGAAACAATGCCTACTATAAATTGTGCGCATATATATTTCATAAATGAATAGTTTTTCATTTTCTTATAGTATAAAATAGTCAGGTTGACATATAACATAAAACATCGCTATTCATTAACATGCATACATGAAATTCCATCTGATATACCAGAAATCCTCATATATTTTGCAGCTATGCTTACTTTTTTATCTGTAACACTTGTCTAAGTTATAAAACTCACTCCTTTGCAGCGATACTTTCCTGTGCAAAAATAATGGCCAATGTGTGCTGCGAATAGACGAATGAATCTCTCACAATTTGAGAAGATGCCACATAGTGTGAAATGAATCTACGCTTTGTTTACATTTCCTACAAGTACAGACTTCAAAGCACAGAGGTCGTGTTCACACCAAACAAATATCGCGTGATTTCATCTCGGCACTTTGCATTGGTGAAGAAGAAAATATGTTATTAAAACTGTGAAAGTAAATGAGGAATTCAGATATGAATTCGTCTAAGGGTGAAACTTACGTTATGCTATCGGTCTCTCGTCACTGCCAAAGGTGAGAAGCAATTTGGAAAAATACTATTTCGTGTGTGCGTTTTTTTCCAAAATCTTCCAACGAATCGCAAGCGACGTTTTAGAATAATCGTACGTCATTGTATCTAAGAGCGAAATTTACCATGTGCCTCAGTTTTAGATGTAACTTTCAGCGATTTTAGAAACCCGTTTTTACCGCCATTTCACTTGGCTTTTTAGTTCTGGCGTATAGTTTCGTTTGAAATTACTCGCCATCAAAAATCGGTTTCTACCATAGTTTGGACTGATTTAGTTGCCAGGTATTGCATGGTATGTGTCGGAGAGGCAGTTGGTCGTTATCAATAGGCATCAATCAGCAGCATCGTTTACATGTTAAATTTTATTCCACTTCAAAGTGAGGGAGCTGAAATTTGACAAATATACTTTGTCATCAAAGGACAATATAACAACAAGATTACTACAGTTTATTATTAAAACTGGTCAGAGATCATTTTAAAATGCTCAATCATTACTCAACAACACAAAATAATTGGACAAAACAATTTCTTTTCAACTGATTGGGAACCGATGACATGTGTCAACCAAGTCAGCGAACCTGACCACCCGATCCCGATAGTTGCCTCTTACGACAAACATGGGTTACTGAAGACCAATTCTAACCCGGATCCGCACGGGTCTTCAGGGTCTGTTTGACAGACTAATGTGCCGCTCGCCCTTTATATGTAAATTATTTCATGATACACCCTGGTAAAAGATCTCGTATAACAAACCACCGGCACAACATGTTTGACAAAATAATGTACCCACCAGTCCTCTTTTGCCAAAGCTCCGGTTCTCTCTCACGCACTTTGCATCATTGTCCGGGTAATGCACATACCATTGTTGACGTAAAAGACGTGACGTCTTGACGTGTTGTTCACTGACGTATAACCACAACATGACGTCACAATACAGCCCTGTTGGCGCTTAATGGATACACTGCATATAAATACTTGTATTCATTTTGTTGCTAAATGTTTCATTCTCGAGTTTAGTGGCCTCTTTTGTCTTATATATATTTCGCCATGCTTGTTCACAACGTTTATGGAGTGATGTGTATTTTCAGGATGTTGAACATAATATACAGGATTTTTAAAGATCGAATCAGTTATTTTGTAACACGCACTGCACCGGGTGGACTTACCACTATCACTGGCGATGATAAAACCAAACTTGTGGAGTGAGTGAGTGAGAGGGTTTAGTTTTACGCCGCTTTTAAAAATATTCCAGCAATATCACGGCGGGGGACACTAGTAATGGGCTTCACACATTGTACCCATGTTGGGAATCGAACCCGGGTCTTCGGCGTGACGAGAGAAAGCTTTAACCACGAGGCTACCCCACCACCCCTAACCTTGAGGAAAGACTGGGTGTGGTCAGTGAAGACTCCAGACAGCATATGGAAACAATTGGAGTAATTGCCAAGTTTAGTACTATTCAATTGATTGTGAAATTAAGTAGGTTGGTTTTGTCGATCGGAAAACTAGCAGGGTCGTTCAATTCCCGCTCGGTCAGACAGCTATATACATTTAAATTGGTCACAAACCCGTGAAGATCGGGTTAGAATTGATCTTCAGTAACCAATATGCATGTGGAAAGAGGCGTCTAACGGGATCGGGTGGTCAGACTTGGTGACTTGGTTGACACATGTGGGAAATCGTGACGAACAAACTTTGGTACGACTGGTTGACTGACTGGGGATGGGACGGGGTAGCCTTGTGGTTAAAGCGTTCGCTCGTCACGCTGAAGGCCCGGGTAAACAATCACATCCCTTCCAAATCTGTGTTTTAGAAAATGTTACACTATAGCTTAATGATCCATCTTGTGGAAATAGAGATGCTTTCGTTTTCTTGCTTAAAATATAATTCATTTAAATGTGACTAGGGTGTCTTTTCTCTTTGGCGAATTCGAACAACATTCCCTCGTTTAATAAAAAAAAAGAACTTTTGACACAATTACTTTACAAAATAAATATTTTCCTTATATGGTGACTGTACTGTATTATATCCAGTATGCGAAATATACTGAACAACATAAGAAACGCACCACCCATACAATCCGAAATATACTGACTGATTGAGTTTAGTTTTACGCTGCTTTTAGCAATATTCCAGCAATATCACGGCGGGGGACACCAGAAATTGGCTTCACACATTGTGCCCATGTAGGAATACGAAATATACCCGTCAGACTGAAATGTACCCATGATATTTGAGCATCGTCGGTGCATTTTAGTGTGGTGCGTTTCTAATGTTGTTGAGAATAGTTTCCACATTTATTCTAACCAGTCGGGCTAGCTATGCCTGAAAGTTACTAGCCGACAAAGTAGTTCACTAGCCCGAATTTTAAATGTAGACACTGATTTCATCATTAAGCTGCTAATACGATGAACATTTTTATAAGGCCATAATCTTGCATGATTTAAGAGTGTTAAGTCGGAGAGAGTGATATATTTACAAAATGACCCAATGAACATTCACTATCCAGTCGGACTAGTGTCTATTGAGATTTACTGGCCCGCCTGGACTTTCACCAGCCACGGGCTACCGGGCCAGTGGTTATTTCGTACACTGATTATATCATTCAACATAACAAAAGATGGTATTGTAAAATACTGTATTTCATCCAGTTCCAATATCGAGAAGTATGTTATGTATTAGCAAAATAACTGAAAAGTTTTCAAAATAAGGCCTGTCTTTCCTCTTCGCAACAAGCAAGACAAACACTGATTCTAACAAAGTAAAACGGCGACATTAGTTCCCCAAGAATTTTGTACAATTTGAAATTAATATGAGCAGCTTTTCCCACAAAAAATGTCATGTTCATCGCCCAGCTCTCTCTTCGCGAGGCCTCTAAAGATTTGCATATGTGTGAGCTCTGACCCCCAAAGCAGCGTGTACCTTTCTGCGAAACATGAATGACTAGCTTAGATAAAGGCCTATCTTGCACTTGCTTGTGCACACGGATCATTATTTACTGACGATTTCTATGCTTCGTGTAAGGATAATACGATTAAGGTAAGTATTAAATGCTGTTTTGAGTGAAAACCCTTTGATGGAACATGTTGGAAGTCGCTCTGACCCGCGCGTGCTGCGCTTGTCGCAAGCGCCACACGTAAATAAGAAACAAATATGGCGGAAACGGCACCGCATTATCCCCCATCTTTACTGTTTCAGAGCCGGCGCGAGGTTGCTAGGGTCATTTTTTGACCAATTCACCCGGTCACTGCCGGGATGGAATGGTTTCTACCCTTTCCACTCTGTAGTATTCTCTTGAGCGTCTACACACACCATTACCGGCGGTTGGTGTGTCGGAAGATCTCAACCGACACTGTCAAACTAAAAAAAGAATGTTCTTTTCAACATCCCAATGTTTTTGTCTATTTCGCTGCTTGTTACATCGTCCCCGTAACGTTGCAAGCGTAGATGCTGGGGTATGGTGGACAGCCATGGTGACATCTTTACGTCTGTGTTTTCAGTCAGTGTAAAAAACATTGTATTTTATGAATGCTTCGAAAACAACTGGTTGTCAATGTAAAAATGTTGATGCACGTGCAGGGATTTATTGTTACAGCTGATAGGCAATGCCAATCATAATTTGTCAAACAATAATGTTTATATTTTTATCTCTGTTTCGTTTTTTGAAGATGCTTAAGTCAATGACACCATTTTAGGTAACTTCTTTGAGAGGCATAGAACTTGGTTTTCCATCACCATTTTAGGTAGTTTTTTCTGCAGGATATTGTACTAAAAAGTAAATAAATTGATGAAATTCATGTCCATTAAGTCACAATTAATCCTTGTTTTTTATAATAAGCATGGAAGTCCAAATATTATGGCATAATAACAGTTTGAGATCTTATGATCGAGTCATCTGATCTAGTGATCAACATCACGAGCATTGATTTACGCAACTTGGATATGATGACATGTGTCAACCACGTAAGCGAGCCTGACCACCCGATCCCATTTCTCACGTCTTATGACAAGCATGGGTTACTGAAGATCAATTCTAACCTAGATCTTCACTGGTAATATATGGTAATACCAACAAGACCATTCATTACATTGTGTACTCTACACTTCAGACTCCCTTTTCCCTTGAGATGTGAGTTAGACTATCTTTAGTGTCACCTTATATTTTTCTAAATGGTCCCCCATATTAAAGGAATACTGTACACATTACTATAAGCTCAGTTTGAGTTGTTTCATACATGATGATGGTGGGGTAACCCAGTGGTTAAGGATTTCGCTCGTCACGCCAAAGACCCGGGTTTGACTTCCCACATGGGTACAATGCGTGAAGCCCATTTCTGGTGTCCCCCACCATGATATTGCTAGAATATTGGTAAAAGTGGCGTACAGCTAAACCCACTCACTCCTATATATAGGTAACTGTGCATACCAGAGTGATATGTGATATGCAAACAGAGGCATAAAACAAAAGTCACTCACTCACACCCATTTTTGATGCACACCACCATGAAAATGCTGGAATATTGTTGAAAGTAGTAGCGTAAAACCAAACTCATTCACTCACTCACTCAGTGGTACACTTGTATGCTGATACATGTACCTTCTTCAAGCAGAATTCAACAAGTGAAAAGGATCAAATCCACTGTGTATTCAGTTTTCACAAAGCTCTGCTGATCCGCGGATTTCTGCTGATTTTATTTCAAATTGATCAATTCTGTGAATCGTCTGAACACCACACACACACACACACACACACACACACACACACACACACACACACACACACACGAACACACACACACACACACACACGAACACACACACACACACGAACACACACACACACACACACACACCATTCAATTCAGTTTTCAGCTGAAAATAGATTTTCCTGTTGACATCTCTGTGTATAAATTGTATTGAACTGATTTGCAAAGCAACTTGTGAAATATTAGAACCTGAAATGGGGCAATGGGGTAGCCTGGTGGTTAAAATCTTCGCTCGTCACGTCGAAGACCCGGGGTTCGATTCCCCAGACGGTTGCAATTTGCGAAGCCCATTTCTGGTGTCCTCCGCCATGGTATTGCTGAAATAATGTGGCGTAAAGTATGCTCACTCACTGTTTGAAAGTCATTGACACTGGTTGTTGTCCAGTTTATACCATTTTTGTATTCCTTGAAACAGGGGAACTAACAACATGTGAGAATAACCACTTCCATGTTTTTACCTTTTTCTGTACTTATGTCTAAAAATGACCATGAAAAATACTTTTAGGATTCTTCATAAGAATAAAACTCTGAGCAAGTTATGTTTGTCATAATTAGATGGAATGACCCAATTTGTTTGGCTCTGTGCCTTACCTTGCCTTGGCATTGTATTCTAGTGGCAAGAATCGATTCTTATGATCTTAATCACTGGATGTTGAAGAATTATGGGTGGTGGGGTAGCCCAGTGGTTAAAGCGTTTGCTTGTCAGTCCAAAGATCTGGATACGATTCCGCACATGAGTACAATGTGTGAAACCCATTTCTGGTGTCCCCCGTTGTGATATTGCTCGAATATTGATAAAAGTGCAGTAAAACCAAACTCAGTCAGTCAGTCAAATTGAGATTGGAATGTTAGCAATTCGATTTCTATATTTTAGCAATTTGTGGAATGTAAAACAGTATGATCTTTGGTAATGAATTATGGAGGGAACTGTTACTGGTGAATGAAAGTATGTGTAGATTTTTATGTTAAACCATGGAGATAATCACAAAACTTCATGTACTATTTTAACAGTGTACAAGTTCTCAGAAAAAATATTGCAATTGTACCGTATAAAAAATGTATTGTAGTATACTTGTGTGCTGAAAGAGTTTGGTGGATGGGAGCCCAGTGATCCATGGTTCCACTGTTTTATTTGCAGAGTTGTGTCCCCTGGGCATGCCAGGATATCATGATTGTTTCTAGGTTTGTCAGCATCAGACTCATTGTTGGAGATTTCACTATAGTGGGGCCATGTTTTTGCCTTGCGGTTAAAGCATTCATTTATCACGCTGAAGACCCAGGTTCGATTCCCCACATGGGTACAATGTGTGAAGGCCATTTCTGGTGTCCCCAGCCATGATATTGCTGGAATATTGCTAAAAGTGTCGTAAAACTAAGTTCGCTCACTTACCATAGTGGCCAATGTCAAGACCTGCATGTCTTCAAGCTTTCCTTCCAATTTATGCTGATATATTATCCGTTATCTCTTGTGGATGATTCTGTTATCTGGAGGGATGTAGGTTAATTGTTGTCATAGGGTACATTATTATGGGGTGGAGGTTAACTGTTGTCATAGGGAACATTATTATAGGATGGAGGTTAACTGTTGTGATAGGGTACATTATTATAGGAATATAGCTTAACTGTTGTCATAGGGAACATTATTATAGGATGTAGGTTAACTGTTGTCACCGGGTACATTATTATAAAATGGAGGGTAACTTGTCACAGGGTACGTTATTATAGGATGGAGGTTAATTGTTGTCATAGGGTTCAATATTATGGAATGTAGGTTAACTGTTGTCGTAGGGTACATTATTGTGGGATGGAGGTTAACTGTTGTCATAGGGTACATTATTATAGGATGGAGGTTAATTGTTGTCATAGGGTACTTTATTATAGGATGTAGGTTAGCAGTTGTCATAGGGTACAATATTATGGAATGTAGGTTAACTGTTGTCGTACGGTACACTATAATGGGATGGAGGTTAACTGTTGTCATAGGGTACATTATTATGGTAAGTAGGTTAACTGTTGTCTTTAGGTACATTATTATGGAATGTAGGTTAACTGTTGTCATAGGGTACATTATTAAGGAATGTAGGTTAACTGTTGTCATAGGTTCATTATTATGGTATGTAGGTTAACTGTTGTCTTAGGTACATTATTATGGAATGTAGGTTAACTGTTGTCATAGGGTACATTATTAAGGAATGTAGGTTAACTGTTGCCATAGGGTACATTATTGTGGGATGGAGGTTAACTGTTGTCAGAGGTTACATTGTTATTGAATGTAGGTTAACTGTTGTCATAGGGTACATTATTATGGTATGTAGGTTAACTGTTTTCCTTGGGTACATTATTATCGAATGTAGGTTAACTTGTGATAGGGTACATTATTAAGGAATGTAGGTTAACTGTTATAGGGTACATTATTATATGATGTTGGTTAACTGTTGTCATAGGGTACATTATTATAGGATGGAGGCTAACTGTTTGTCATAGGGTACGTTATTATAGGATGGAGGTTAACTGTTTGTCATAAGGTACATTTTACATATTGCTGGAATATTGCTCAGAGCGGCGTAAAACCAAACTCACTCACTCTCACTTACTGATCCTTTCAATACGTCAGATAAGAGAAACATTTTGGTCCTTTAGGTAAGATATCACTCTACTGATGCGTTTTCAATTCTTCCTCCGTCCTTTGTGGAAAGGCAACTGTACAATCATTGGCGTAGTGGGCAGATCGGCTGTACCAGGGACTACATCATCTCTCTCTACCCTCGGAGCAGCCACAGCTTCAATCTCAGTTTGAGTGAGTGAGGGAGTTAAATTTTAACGTCACATCGGCAATATTTCAGCCATATAGTGACGGGAAAGGTTTTGCATACACAATCGGCATAAGTTGTTAAATAATCAGCAGTCTTCGAAGGACTGTAAACTAACTAGAGTATCACAGATGGTGTCTAAAACTAGCATGGAAGTCTCAGTTTTAGCTGCAGTTTATACAGTAAGTTTGTGGTTGCGCACCTGGATCTAGATTTTCGAAGCTCTTTTAGCCCTAAGATAGTCGTAAGTGCCATACATTAACATTAACTTGCGACTATCTTAGCGCTAAGAGAGCTTCGAAAATCTAGGCCCTGCGGTCTAACTTTCCTCCGGCGCTCAGTTCTGGCTTGCCTCCCGAGCTGAGATGTAGGTATGTAATATTTACGTACTCTTTCAAGTTTTCGTTTCGTCTATCTTTTCTCCTCTTCGAGTTTCTTTCTTTCTCTGTAGGCTTTCTGAATT